GATATTCTTATGGATATTATTCAATGATTTGATAAGAAATTGAAACAAACAATTTATGTTTATTATTAGGTCAACAGCTAATGGTTATAATAAGTGCACTGAAATGTGGAAAAACAAAACTTCTTTACTCGATATTAAGAGAGAGCTGTCCGTCAACTCTATTGCTGTCTGTCATTGAAAACAACTGCATCCGACCCCCAGCTGACCAGGGACTTGGTTTTCCAGGTTTGATTTGTCAATATTTTACATTTAATTTCTTATTACTTATAATATCACTATTAATTATATGTTTAAGAATTATTATAAACTATAGTCTTTAATAAGTTATGTTTATGAAATGATTTAATAATATCTCGTAATATTAATAACTTACGAGTTAGAAACAATTTAATGACACCATTAGAAAAATATTGGTATAATAAGTTATAGTACAGTACTTACTTGTTAGTTATACTTTAGCATTTTTGTGAACATGTTTGCATATAAAATTGAAATATTTGCAAAAAAATATAACATAATTTGAGTTAAACCAATAAGCCAAAATATTGAATACAGTATAAGAAATTTTGTAAAACAAAATTAATTAATCAAATAAACACAACCAATTCAGTGATGCGTTCAGTGGATGATATAATACCAATGCTAATCGATATGAAGTATGACTTTATGAGTGAATGGGATGACATTCATTTGGTTCACGACAAAAGATTAGGTTTGAAGACAGTTAATCAAAGTTAATCATAAGTTTATATTGTGATGAGTTCTCAAAATATCATTCAAATACAGACACAAAAGCTTTAGACGATTTGATAAAAGGTCTGAAAGGAGTGACCGGTCCTGGAGTGGTAGCGACGACTGTAACCACTTATAGGCTTGAAATCAATGACTATGAGTTTGAGGGAGAATCACAAGAATTGTCGCATAAAAGTGGTTTCAATACGAGTCAAGTGTTGGATATGATTACAAATGACAAGTCAATGAAATACTTTGTAGTGATCGGCGGCAGTAAAACAATTGAGGAGTTTATAACTGGCGCACATCAAAGGGCACTCATACTTGAGCCAAGGAAGTGGATTGTAATCATCGCAGAGCCCATTCCCGACACTTCCCACTTCTGGAGCCGAATGAATCCCATCTTCAGTGTGACTGATGTGGCGATTGTTAAGAGAGAGATATCGGTCTATAGTGCGTGCAGTGAATTGAAAGAGGGCTGTCAGATGAGACTGGCCTTTGAAACCCTACGCAATGCCATCAGGAAAGTGATTGAATTCCCATTTTATGACTTCAATGACACCAAACAAGTGAAGGCACAGACGAAGAACAGAGTGATCGCTGAAATGAAAGTGAGTTTTTGTGTCAATCAAAACTGACATAACTTATACTCTATGAAAATCATGCGTTTAAAATGAGACATATAATAAATGTATCTATTATAGATTCTACAGAATCTATACTTTAGTTTCCTTATACTGTAAAAAGTTTGAATTTAAAAAATTTAATATCCTTTCGATGATTGTTTATAATTCAGCTGGAATTGGGAAATGAGAGATCAATGTCTCAATATTGTGGAAATTGCGACCGATTTGTCATTCAATCCATTTATAAGCATAGAATTGGTTCAGAAAATGAGGATAAAAACGCTTTCAACGAAGTTGAAGATAATCCAGAATTTAAGGTTTTAGTGGAAAACACTGCTATTTGGTCACCATTTAAAGGACTGTTAGATCAGGGAAAGGTATTGGGATATGAAGAGGGTAATCTCAAGAACAGAGACCTTGTAGTGGGAATTGTCAATGTAAGCACTCTTTAACTCATTTTCATGTTTAATTAATACTTTATTTAATAGTATTTAAATAAAATATAATATATCTGAACAACTGTGACCCTTCCCTCCCTGTGCCAAAGCAACCCCCATTAGTGAACATAAGGCAACCGTATGTAAATGAATCTGATATCAACGGGACCACATATCATATGGTTAAGATTTTGGCAACAAAAATGAATTTCACGATTCTATGGAATGTGGACTCAACCACTACTTTGGGACGACTAGTGAACAAGGAGAAGAAGGAATGGACCGGGATGATTGGCAAACTACTCAACAAAGAAGTGGAAATCGCAGCCAATGGCTATTGGAGAACAGTTGATCGCATGGATAACGTGGACTTCACGTTCCCATTTGACAAGGAGGAGATGTCCATGATGATTCAGAAAACCAGTGAAGATCATAAATACCTGTTCCTCACACCTTTTACATGGGATGTAAGTGTCATTATATCACTCATGGTTTCGTATATTTGATTAGATACAGAATTTAAAACTTTGGTTTTAATCAAATCATTTCAATTTTGTTATCATTTGTATAGAATAATTTTTAAAATATGCATTTTTAGACATATTAATGATCTCATGAAAATAAAATATTAATTTCATTAATGATAAATCATTGCTTTTAGGCCTGGGTCAGTATATTGATAACAGTCATAGTTATGGGTCCATTACTTTGGATCGTTCACAGATCGAGTAAATATTACGATTATTACAATATGAGGGACAATAAAGGTTTGTTCAAGCTGTCCAACTGTACCTGGTACTGTTTTGGAGCAATGGTACAAC